GCCACCGCTGTCCGCTGCCACACACCCCCGGTTCCCCAGATCCGTGGAGCCCGCCAATCAATCGGAGGACGCGTGCCCACCCTCCCCCATTAGTTCACAAAGTTTGTGTGAGGTTTTTTTGTTTTTGTTTTCCTGGTAAGAATTAAACAAGATAATGTCCTGATATATTTTAGACATTTACTAGTAATAAAACTGACTTTTACTCTGTTTATAGATTTTTAAAAATCAATACTGTTATTTTATAGTCAGACTGTCTATATTTCACTATCTTATTTTGGTTTCCAGAAATTTAGCAGGAAATATCATCATTGTTAACAAAATACATATTGAAAGACTACAGTAAAAATTAGTTATAAAAATACATACTTAGTAAATGCAGTAAAATTCCTTTCAGTTTCTCTGAGATACTAAAATAAAATTCCTCTCCTACTTAAGTCTTCCTTTGTAAAAAGAATTCTCAATCTATTTTCTTACTTTGTGTATTTTCTCTTCTTAGACAAAAAAAATAAATAAATAAAAATTCTTAAACAGAATCCATTTCTTTCTTTTTTTTTTTTTTCTATCAAGTAACTAAGTAAGTCAGATTAACTGAAAAGGTTATTTTCTGCTTTTAAGTGTAGATGGGTACCATTCTACAGTTGGATGGATGCTTGATTTAACCATATCTGGGCCATTATTGTAGAACTGGAGGCCCGATGCACAAAATTTGTGCAAGAAGCTTGGCCCTCACAGCTGCAGTGGCTTCTCTTGGCCCTCACAACCCTGGCCTCATCCAGAAGGCCGTCAGAAAGTTCATTTGGCAGTCCGGTCTAATTAGCATATTTTGCCTTTATTGTTATAGATGGGATATTTTATTTTATTTGGGGGGGGGTATGGAAATCTTTTTAAAAACAATAGTTATTTTGGAAAGTAGCATGCACTAGTAAATGTTTATCACATATGTGTATTTGTGTTTCTTTAGAGTGGCTTATCTACAGTCAAAAAGTTTCAGTAAGTCAGACATCACACAGATGGTCAGGAAGGCGCCGTTTTTGCTGAGTTTTTCCGTCGAAAGACTGGATAACAGACTGGGGTTTTTTCAGAAAGAACTTGAACTTAATGTGAAGAAGGTAAAGACAAAGGGGGGATTTTTTGTATTTCCAAGTCAGCTACATTTAGTAATTGTTACATCTCCTGTTTCTAACAGCTATGAATGAAGAAGCCTGCTAGCTGAAACATGTAGCTGTCTCATTTTATAATATTCCATCAAATTGTTTCCTTTTGTTTTAGTATGTTTTTTCCCCTCAAACGGTTTTACGTTTATGTATTTATGGGGTTCCTAGCCTTTTCCTAAGGGTCATTTTAGAATTTTTAGTTTTTTGAAACTAGTTTGGCTTCCCAAACTAGTTGCACATATGGTAATGATAGACTGTTTTATAATTGCAGACTAGAGATCTGGTGGTTCGTCTCCCAAGGCTACTAACTGGAAGTCTGGAGCCCGTGAAAGAGAATATGAAGGTAGGATAACTTTAAGCTTTTGAGAAATCAGCTTCTTTCTTGAAGTGTTTAAGTCCTCTGAAGAGGATTGATTTTTGCTATTGTCATCTTAAAGAAAACTATATTATAAATGTTCTTTCTAAAAAGATGAGACTAGAAAATGAGAACTATCTAGCACGCTGTTTGTTGTAGGTGATGATATGTTCACGTGTTCACCAGGTGTTACATGAGTAGGTCACCTTGCAGACACAGATGCCTGTACTCCTAGGTATGTGGGTGCTCCTTGGAAACTGCTTCCGTTGCCAGAACGAGAGCCTCTGTCTGTGTGGACAGGTGGGGATGAGTTATGGAGACTGGATCCGGGCGGCTTCTGTGAAGGGCAGTGGCCAGCACATTGCTCTCCTTACACCTGTGCCAGATGCTGGCCCTGGTTCTATCACAGAACACGCCAGACATCCTTCCGTGTTTCTCCCAGCAAGTGGGTAGAGTCAAGGGCAGCTTACTGTTGGTATACAAAGCTGGAGGAATATGTGAAATCATTACCTAAGGCCTCCCTGTTTGCTGAGGTGCTCACGGTGTTTCATATTCAGTTGTACAAGTTGTGGGCACCTGCCCCCCGACTGTGCGGGAGGGAGGCCCTGCTCTATGGAGCTTCCGGGCCAGTGGGGACAGCGCGGAGAGATACAAGCAACTCTCCTTTCTTTTAGGTTTATCGTCTTGAACTAGGTTTTAAACGTAACGAAATTCAACATATGATCACCCAAATCCCAAAGATGTTGACTGCGAATAAAAGGAAACTTACGGAGACGTTTGATTTTGTGCACAACGTGATGAGCGTTCCCCACCACGTCATCGTCAGGTTCCCGCAGGTAACCGCAGGCTGTGAGAGCATCCTCGCCCTGCGTCTGCCGCTGCTCCAGCACCATGCTTCTCGCTCTGAAAATGCCTTGCTCTGTGTGAAGGAACTGGGCCAAATGCAGTCTGGCTCTGAGAGTTGTGTGAAAGTCGTATTTCTTTTGCCCATCTTTTTATCAAGATAACACTTTGGAGCAAAGGCTCAAAAAGCATGTTGAGTCCTAGCCGATTTGGCTCAGTGGATAGAGCATAAGCCTAGGGACTGAAAGGTCCTGGGTTCAATTCCGGTCAAGGGCACATACCCAGGTTTCGGACTCCATCCCCAGTATGGGGCATGCAGGAGGCAGCTAGTCAATGATTCTCTCTCATCCCTGATGTTTCTTTTTCCTCACTTCCTCTCTGAAAACAATAAATATATATATATATATATATATATATATATATATATATATATATATATTATATACATACACACATAGATTTGAGTCACCCCAAACTCTAGATTCTTGAATTGTAGAATTGTTGTATTGGGACTCTTAGACTCCTAGTGGTCTGTCTGGGTGGTAGTGCTCGGAAAACAAAAATCGAAACTTATCATCAATGGAAAAATACATTAACTGACAATAGGCTGCGAGGAAACTGATACAGAATAAATTTTTGACAGGTGCATTTAAAATTCTGGTGTGAAACATTGTCTCAAGAAAATAACAGTTATTGTTGGCACAGCAATTTTATAATTAACATGGGAAACAATTATAACTTAATAGGTATGGTTAATTTGTCATTTAAGAGCAGAATGGTCGACGGTAAAGGATAATGACATGAGGAAATCTCTCGTTAAGGAAAGACGTTATATTCAGGATTCCATAAAACTTTGTCTTCCCTCTCCCTCTGCGCTTCTTCCACATCAGGGAACAGGGAATCGATAGTTCTCAGGCCAGGTTTTTGTTTGTTTTTTACTCCCTGATTATTTAATGGATCATTAACAGAATGAAATTTTCCTGTCGCTACATTAATTAGTCAGTGTTCTTAGACTACAATGTAGCCCTTAATTTTTTTTTTATAATTGTTCTGTTTGTAAGCTTTGAGTCCCTTTTTAATCATAATTTCTTAGTGGAAGCTATAAACCTTGGGCATTTATCAGATTTACTGAGCATGTGGTCAGTATTTTACATTTGTTAGCCTATTAAAATTTTTAGCCATATAAACATTTTAATAGTTCATCTTTCAGTGCATATTTTTTAAAACTCTTTTTCTTTTGTAGGTATTTAATGCAAGGTTGTTTAAAGTAAAAGAAAGACATTTATTTCTGGCCTATTTAGGAAGAGCACAGTATGATCCAGCAAAAGCTAACTACATCTCTTTGGACAAATTGGTATCAGTGCCTGATGAAATATTTTGTGAAGAGATTGCCAAAGCCTCAGTACAGGACTTTGAAAAATTCTTAAAAACTCTTTAGTTTCTGATGAATGTTAAAATGTAATCATGTAAAATAAAAGTATGTATTAATAAATTAATATACTTCAAAATAAATGCCTTGAATCTCAATTGAGACAATTTCTTGATATTGTAAATTTGGATAAAGTTCTGGTAGATCTTTCTTAAAAGTTCCTGGTGACTTAATTCTTTGACTCAACCATTCCCTTCCTTCTGGGGAAAGAGAAAAATCACAATATAGCAAGCTTAGAGAAACAGTTTGAATATATATAGTCTGGCATCGTTTCTGGTGAAGATGAGAAGTGGAGGATTTTCCTCTTAAAATCTCAGGGCTTTTATTTTTTATCTTTTTATTTTTAATTTCAGAGAGAGGGAGAGATAGAAACATCAGTGATGAGAATCATTGATCACCTGCCTCCTGCACACTCCCTACTGGAGAATGAGCCCTCACCTCAGGCATGTGCCTGGACCAGGAATCAAACCGTGACCTCCTGATTCATAGGTCCACACTCAGCCACTGAGCCACACCGGCTGGGCAGTCACAGGGATTTTAAAGTGGTTTTATCACAAGACATCTGTATTTTCTTTTAAGTGTTAAATGAGTTTCTGGAACATACTGTACGTAATATCTACTCTTCACCTAATGCTACAAAACATGTAATTTTAGACTATTTACAGTGTTGTCTTCCCAAGCATAGATACTTAGGGATGCCCACAGGTGGCTACTGATAATCGGGAAAGGAAAAAGCATAGGGAGGAAAGCAGTTTGAAGGCAAGTAGATGTCAATGAGACAGCAAAAGGTCAGGACAACCCTTCTGAGCCTGCTTTCTCCTCTCCCCAACCAATAGGGATACACATAGTACCTAAAAGTTAGAATTAAATGAGAGAATTGAACCAGAATATGTCCAGCCCATGCTTAGCGCTTCGCGTGGCACGGGGCGCGATTCACATTGCCCAAAGTCTCACAGCGCGGCACTCACAGAACCCAGGCCCCGGCCCCGGCGCCCTCATTCCTTCCTCCCTGGGGTTTTTCCCATCAGGCCACGCGGAGCACAGCGACTTCCGCCGTTGCTAGGGACGCCGGCGGACTGGTCCGCACGACAGCGACCGTACGTCATCGCCGTTTGAACTGCGCCTGCGCGCGGGCGTCCTCCTGAGGCGCCTGCGCACTGTGGACCCCCCGCACCCCCTGGGACTTACCCAGCAGGCCACGCTTCAGTGTCGGGTCAAAATGGCGAGCCGGCCTGCCGGTAGGTAACTGGGGTCCTCTCTGCTGGGCTTCGCTGCGCCGCACCTTGCATCCTCGCAGCGGCTCGCTCCTCTTCCTCTGCGCTCTCTCCGGGGCCGGCTGGTTCCGCGGCGGAAGGGAAGGGCGGCTCCGGTCCGGTGTGAAGGCGGCCTTCCGCCTCCCCCGGCGGCCCCAGCCCGGCGGCCCCAGCCCGGCCGCCGAGGTAGGGGCTTGGGGGGCTGCGGCTCGGCTGTGGGTGGCGGTGCCCGCGCGGCCCCGGCCCCCTGGCGCCCCCTCTGCCCGCGCTGGGCATCCCTGCCGCCTGGCTTGGGAGAGAGAGTTCAAGGGCACAAGGACATAGCTGGTGACTTTCGGCCGAAAGGGACGGGGAGCCAGGTGCCCGCAGGAGCGTGGGCGCCGTGCCTGCTCCCCGGGGGGGTTCGTCCGCCCTAGACTGAGGTGACCAGATCTTAACGTCGGTAAAGCCGGACGCCATTGACGGGGGTGGGTTAGCGGGGGGGGGGGGGGGGGGGGAGTTCTTCATTAAAAATTTGGTCTATAGGGAGCCACAAATATTTTCAAAGAACGCAAAAATAAAGTATTGTAATATGTTTTTTAAGATTTCAACATAGGCCGAAACCGGTGTGGCTCAGTGGATAGAGCGTCAGCTTGGGGACTGAAGGGTCCCGGGTTCGATTCCGGTCAAGGGCATGTACCTTGGTTGCGGGCATATCCCCAGGAGGGGGTGTGCAGGAGGCAGCTGGTCGCTGACTCTCTCTCATTGATGTTTCTAGCTCTCTATCTCTCTCCCTTCCTCTCTGTACAAAAATCAATAAAATATATGTTTTTTAAAATAAATAAATAAAATAAAATTTCAACATAAGTACAATTTACAAATTTAAAAAATTAGGTATAGTATTATTTTATTCTTTGGCATATTTCTCAATTGAGTGAATTTTTATTTATTTTTTATTTTTAGTAAATTGCTGTCGTCGTTTAAAAGATCGTGAAATTGTTCACAAAAATTTCAAAATGGCTTTCAAAGTCTCAGCCCTTAATTGTGATTTTTTCCGACGTCCACACTTTATTTACCGTAGAAAAAAAACGCGTTCGGTCGCAGCATTAGTTCCTGTGGAATTAATTCCACAATTCCAACAACTGATCAACCATGCGAACTTGGATAAGCAGTTCTCGATAACCAGTTCTCAACAATTATTTGTTGTTATTTAAAGTTTAACATTATAAAATTAACAAAAATAATATAAAACTCATATCCTGGCTAAATAGCCACAAGGCCGCCGGAAACCGTCTATTCCCTTCCCGCTCTCCCGCCGTTCCCTAGCTGGTCGTGCATTCCTTCCAAACATCGGGACTTTTTTAAAACAGCGCTGGGTGCGGGACAAATGGTTAAAAATCGGGACGTCTGGTCACCTCACCCTTGACCCTGATAACCGAGGCCGGGTGGCCGGAGGACAAGGGGTTGGAGGCGGCCTTCTGCCCCTCGCGCTTCCCAAACCGGGAACCAGAGGGAGCTGAGCGCAGGTGACAGGGAAGCTTCGTGTGTACCTTATCCCGGAGCTCAGTGTGGCCTGTGGATTTGAAGGAATCTGTATTTATGGGAGGCACTGAGACAAACACCTGTTATTGAATAGAAAGCTGAACTTACCGGAATATTTAACACAGAACGGGAACGTCAAATAAGAGCTTCACCTTTTTGTTGTTCTTGTTGCTAATCTCTGCCCTCTGATGGTATAAATTGACAAAGCTGTTAATAATATATATATATATATATATATATATATATATATATATATATATATCCTCTTCTCTGCCCTCAGTCCTTGTGAAGCTGTTCACCAACCTAAGCGACATTGACGGGGAGACCCGTAAGAATCCGTTATTAAATTTAACTTCACGAATATTGAAGGCGCTCTGCTCTGCCCCTCCGCAGTGCTTGGCGCTAGACAGACCGGGCCGGCTTCCATCCCGGGTGGGAGGGCTTCTGTGAGACTGGTGCCTCCGTGTCAGGGACCCGCGTGCGGATCTGGGTAAAGCAAGCGGGTCAGTGCTTGGCACACAACCAGTGTCCCGTGCATGTTAATCATTCTCTCCATCTCTGGCTGATGCACTCACCAGTAACTGATTTTCCACAAGCGTGTCTGTGGATCGTTGGCTCTTTGGTCATCCGTGCTGCTTAGTTTCCAAGGAGAGTTACCAAAGGCTCAGACTGATGTACTAGGAGGAGGGGCAAGGAGGGGTTGGAGGGAAAGGAGTTTGCTTGATAAGGGTCTAACCCAGGACAGAAATGTAAAGGCGGTTTTAAGCTTTCTCTACCTCCCCTTCTGTACCACATTTCTCCTGTAAACACCAGGCACTGTCATGTTATTCCTCAAGGAGTTTTTTTATTTTTTTTTGAAATATATTTTATTGATTTTGTACAGAGAGGAAGGGAGAGAGAGAGAGTCAGAAACATCGATGAGAGAGAGTCATCGATCAGCTGCCTCTTGCACACCTCCACTGGGGATATGCCCGCAACCAAGGTACATGCCCTTGACCGGAATCGAACCCGGGACCCTTCAGTCCCCAAACCGACTCTCTATCCATTGAACCAAACCGGTTTCGGCATGTTATTCCTCAAGGAGTTTTAACGTTACCTGTTTCTTCTCATCCGTTTTCTTTCTCTTTCTTTTAATATATTTTATTGATTTTTTTACAGAGAGGAAGATAGAGGGATAGAGAGTTAGAAACATCAATGAGAGAGAATCATCGATCAGCTGCCTCTTGCACACCCCCTATTGGGGATGTGTCCTCAACCAACGTACATGCCCTTGACCAGAATCGAACCCTGGACCTTTCAGTCCACAGGCTGACGCTTTATCCATTGAGCCAAACCGGTTTTGGCTTCTCATCCGTTTTCAAATATCCATTCCCTTGGTGGAAAGCTTGGGGGGATGTGGAAAATGGGCTTCTTTGGTTGATCCTTTTTGAGGTTAAATGACTAAGTAATGATATCAGAATCCTCCCAGAAATACTACAGAGGGTAGCCAAGTAATAAAAAGGTGATGCAGAATACACATTTTGGAAGAAGAGGGTCATTTAGATAGCTACCCTGTCCTGACATTTCACCTTCTTTTCTTACAACACCAACTCCCTTTGAAAGGGAAGTTTAGATTTGTTACCTGTAATCTGTTTCTGAAACTATAATTGAGAAGTTCTGAGTTTCTTTCCCATACCCTCCCCCTTTATTTTTTTAATTATTTTTTTTAAATATATTTTATTGATTTTGTACAGAGAGGAAGGGAGAAAGATAGAGAGTTAGAAACATCGATGAGAGAGAGTCATCGATCAGCTGCCTCTTGCACACCCCCTACTGAGGATATGCCCACAACCAAGGTACATGCCCTTGACCGGAATCAAACCTGGGACCTTTCAGTCCCCAAGCCAACGCTCTATCCATTGAGCCAAACCAGTTTCGGCCCATACCCTCCCCCTTTAATTCTTACAGTTGCAGGGGGACATAAAGGAATGGCACACTTGCCTCCTTTGAGTGGCAATAGTTGTACTTGTAAATCTCTTGTACATTAGGTGTTTGCGTTTACCTGTTTTCCCATGGCTTGCCCAATTTTTTTTTTTTTTTTTTTTTTTTTTTTACCTGCAGTTTCTCTTGCTCATAGATAAAATAAGGAATTTTTACCAACAGTATATGGAGTATACACTGTTAAAAGGAAATACCTTCCTATGCTTGCACTCTCTAACCGTTAACTATCAGAAAGGGGTGGCTTACCCATTAGCAATTTCGGGTAGTACAGTAAGTGAGTTGTAGCAACTAACAGTGTGACAATATCAGTTGCAGCATCAGGCCGGTGGCTGGACGGTATTCGAAAATGGTATTACAATGCGGCAGGATTCAATAAACTGGGTGAGTATCTGCACTTCCTCCTCCTGTTTTTTTTTTCTGAGAGTAGTCTTTTTGCAAAAGTCATTAAGAGTCCAAAAAAGTAACTAATTATGCTTGTGTACCTTAGAAGATGTTACTATTAGGTCACATTTTATTATGTTAAATCACATCCATTTTTTATTATTTTGAGACGAGAGGGATGGACTTGTCTTAAATGTTTGAGGTGGAAATGATTTATGTTCTTGAAATATAGTAGCTGGACTGTTTCCTTAGTATACGCTCTCTCTCCCACCTCCTCCACTTAGCATTTAAAATTTAAGTTCTGTGAACTTTGAAAGTAGAGATTTTTCCTATTTGTGTTTAAAAACAAGGTAGACATTTTAAGAGTCTCATGCTCTACCGACTGAGCTAGCCGGGCAAGACAAGGTAGACATTTTAAAATTTGTTTTAGGTAAAAGGTGAATTCTGTGGCAATAGATTTTAAAAGGCTCGTCTATTGTTTCCAAAGTACCATTTTATAAATAACCCATTATTATATATGAAATACATTGAGCTTGATTATAAATAACTCTTGATATTTCACCCCAAGTCTTAAGTTTATAAGTCATAAAGATATCTTACTCATTTTTTTTTTAAATTCCTGATTTGTGAGACACATATTTAATCTCTCCTGTTTCCTATCGTAGGGCTAATGCGAGACGATACCATCCACGTGGATGAAGATGTGGAAGAAGCCATCAGAAGGCTTCCCGAGAACCTGTACAACGACAGGGTGTTTCGCATTAAGAGAGCACTGGACCTGTCCATGCGGCAGCAGATCCTGCCCAAGGAGCAGTGGACGAAATATGAGGAGGTGGGACAGCTTCTGTGTCTGACACTGTCCACTAAGGATTGAGTATTACAGACAGAAACATTCATTTGCGTAAGGCTTTAGGGTTCTTAATGTTGTCACAAATAAATGTCCTTATGACAGTATGGTGAGGTGATAGAGCAAATGTTAACTTCATTTTAGAGACAAACATGGAGATGGAAACGTGAAGTGACTGTTCCAAAGTCACTAAGCAAGTTTACAATATCTTCCTGGGTTTTTAAACTTTAAAAAAGCAGACAGTTCTTAGTTTGCTAGAAAATACTTTTTTAAGTTGGGAATGAAATTTTCAATGACTTTTTGTTGTTTAAGACCTATTGAGTGTTTGAAGTATACCAGTATGCGATGGTGATGGTAGCATATGATATTTTTCTTTTATTCGTTCTTTAGGATAAATTCTACCTTGAACCGTATCTGAAAGAGGTTATTCGGGAAAGAAAAGAAAGAGAAGAATGGGCAAAGAAATAACCATGGAATCAATCTGTGGATGCCCCGTCCTCGTATTTTAATTATGTTGGTTAAACTTGAAATGCACAATTTAAAACCATCTGGGTTTCAAATATATAAATAAATGTCTATTATAACTTTTGTTGGAGTTTTTGAATTCTGAACTTTATTTTTAATAACTACTGCATTTATTTATCTGTTAAATTCTTTTCAAACTTGCCGAAACCTGTTTGGCTCAATGGATAAAGCGTCAGCCTGCGGACTGAAAGGTCCCGGGTTTGATTCCGGTCAAGGGCATGTACTTTGGTTGCGGGCACATCCCTAGTAGGAGGTGTGCAAGAGGCAGCTGATCAATGATTCTCTGTCATCGATGTTTCTAACTCTCTATTCTCTCTTCCTCTCTGTAAAAATTCAATAAAATATATTTTAAAAAAATAAAATTAAAATAAATAAATTCTTTTCAAACTTACAAGGTATTCTTCAATTAGTGTTTAATGGCCTCCTGAAGCTAAGAGAAGCCATTTTTTAATATTTTTTTATTTTTATTCCTCAACTGAGAGTATGTTTATTGATATGAGAGAGAGAGAAAAAAAACATCGATGTGAGAAATATCAATTGTTTGCCCTCATGCACCCTGACTGGGCATTGAACTTGCAACCTGTGTACATGCCCTGACCAAGAATCGAACCCAAAGCCTATTTGGTGCATGGGACCAACAGCCATGTGACCAGGGCTACCAAACCATTTTAATCAGGTTGGATAACTTCTTGATTTGCTGAGAGATATAATATTCTTCCAAATAGAATAGTCACCTTGCTACTGCGTTTGCAGATTAGCAAGATGCCTAGGAGCCCCTCTAGGGCCTAACTTGCAGGAATGGAATGGAACAAGAAACAAGTGCATCATTTTATCTGAAGCAAGCTGCACTTGAGCAGACTGGCTCTCAGACTTCAAAAGTTCCTGAGAGAGTGAGAGGATCCACCCCTTGTTGTTCCCTCTGCAATCACAGTTCTCAAAATATAATTGAGTCCGCATCCTATCTTAAAATTGTGTATATAGCCCAGGATGGGTCTGTATGAGGTATATGTGTTCCTGTGTATTAGAAAACAAAAATCAGACAAAAATATAAAGACATCATATTTTCTCCCCATATCCCAGAGGCTTTTCTACTTTTGAAATGATTGTTAGAAAGTATATTGTAAAGGTTAGATACTAATAATAGTTTGAAGTTTTAAGGTTATGATAACTTTAATATAAAAACCATTCAATGATGTCATTGCCACCCCTAAATCCTAAGATGACTTCTGTGGAGGAAGCATGCCTAGAAGCCCAGCAAGTGGGAAAGGGCCCTGGAACCTGCAGCCTGCACGGGTTCTCCAGGCCCCTGCTGTGTGTGGTAGGATCTTCCCTCAAAGAGCAAAACTGAAAAGTTCTGTGTCAGGTGAAACTCCTAAAACTAAAAAGCATGTGTTCACATATTTTATGTTTTCCACAAAATTAGATATGTTGACATTTATGTTTGACTTTTGCAACATGAACATAAGGCCTTAAAAATTTGCTAAGATATTAGATCAAATATCCCAAGAGCCTCCCTTCTCTTTGATATTCAGATTATTTTCTGAAACCCTATTCTGTGTCATGTCATTTTTTTTTTTTGTTTGTTTGGTCTGAGTTGCCTAAATCTTCCTTGGATATAAAGGTTTTGGTTATGGTAAACACAGTTGTTTTGTTAATCCTCACCCGAGGATATTTTTCCCATTGATTTTTAGAAAGTAGAAGGGAGGGAGACAGACACATGGATTGCCCCACGCACACTGGGGTCATAGATCAAGCCTGCAACCAAGGTATGTGCCCTTTACTGGAATCGAATCTTAAGACTTGGGTCTGTGGCCAGTGCTCTAACCACTGGGCAAATCGTCTTGGGACAGCAGTTCTTTAATATGCTTAATATTTTGTGAGATTTGTGACATATTTGGAACAGTATTGTAAACCACATAGAAACTGATAAAGATCATGGTAGATGACAATGTTAAGGGACATCTTAGTGAGGGACTATTTGCATCAGGGTCAGTTGAAGAATAAATACTTTTGTATCAGGATGCTTCCCTATCAGACCTACAAGTAAGTAACTGAGGTAAATTCTCAGACAACCAAGCATCGCCCAGTATTTCAATGCTTCACTTTCTTTCCTCTCTCAGACCTTTTCAAGTCAACCTGAATCTCATATATGATTGATTAGTGTTATTTCCATATAACCTATTTGGCTCATCATCCTGTAGACAGGGTAATAGAGGAGTAATTCATGGCCAATTCTAGGTACAACTACCCAGATCTGAATCCATTGACTTGTTGGGTTTGACTTCTCTGTGCCTCCATTTTCTCAGCTCTAGAATGGAGCTAAGGATAGAACTGACTTTAGAGGGTTGTTTTGAAATCAACCAATTTCATTATATTTCAGGTATCAGAACAGGTCTTGGCACATGGTAAGCACCATTCTGACTTGCTAAAGGATTCAGTAATAAGAAGGGTAACAGGGCTGAAGCCTAAAGTCACTATAGCCATAATAATCCTATGTTCATAAACAGGATGATGCTAACATAGATAAATAACCAAAGAGGGAGGGAGGGGATGTATGGGGGGGATGGTAAAACATGTACACAGATAATAATTTAATAAAAAAAACATTAAAAAAAAATAACCAAAGAATTTAGAATTGAAAAGCCACGTGAAGTTCAGCTAGAGTGGCTCAGTTGGTTGAGCACCATCCCATGAACCCAAGGGTTACCAGTTGATTCCTGATCAGGGTATATGCCTGAGTTTCAGGCTCCATCCCCCTTGAGGTGGGGGCGTGGGGGTGTAGGAGGCAGCCAATCAATGTTTCTCCCTCTCCCTTCTCTAAAATAAATAAAAACATATTTGAAAAAATAATAAAAGCTAGCTGAACATAAAATTATACTAAGTACTTGAAAGTCTGGTGGGTGAAGTGCAAATGGGTTTACCCTTTTGGGTGACATAAGTTTTAGTAACTAAAGTATCAGATATGAATATACTTAGAGTGAATGGTACATAACTAGAGAATATAGGGGAAAGGTCTCTTTATTAGAATAAGGTACTAAATTCTGCCACTAGGTGGTGATGTACTACAACTTTACAACTTAAGAGTACACCTCGCCACACTGCTGAAGATTTATCCTTTCTGTGCCCTCACCAACTCCCTCCCCTTCATTTTTCAGGATGACAACGCCTTAGAGGTTTATGGCCATCAGGAGAATTTACTACTAAGCTATATACTGATGTAATGAAATCTAATATATGCTGTGCGATGAATTATGAGATGTTATTTAGTTTCAGGATTTTATTACTTCAATCAGTTATGACCATATTTCCTCTTATAGGATTGCTCACTCTTTAAACATACCAGATGACTGTATAAGGAACACCTAATAAAGTCTATAGATGTTAAAATCTAAATGTTTTAATTTATTTGCCATAATTTGTTTAAATTCTGGTTATACCGGTGTTCATATTAAAAGCCATAACATATTAGAATTTGAGATGTCAGGTCAGATGGTGCCTCTGAATTATATTTTGTTAAGAAATTTTATTGTATGTATTAGCAATTGAGCAGAGAAGACGAACTGAGTAATTCATTACAAGGTAATTTTCAGCATAGATTCCAGAAGCCTGTTAGTATTTGAGGGACTTAGGTATTTTGTATTAAGACAAACTATGTAAGTTATTCTGGATTTTGACTATCTCTCTCCTACAATTAAAAATTGTATTTGTTTAACTTTGTATTTTAATACATTTGCCCATTTCTACATAAATGCCAAAAAGTAATTTAAAAATAAACCCCTATGAAACTTCTGGTAATATTATTCAACTGAATCATTGCTCTGTTAGTATTCTATTTTAAAGAACATTTTTTAAATACACTTGAAAATTGTATTCACAAGCCAAACCCCCTCCCCCAAATAATTATTTCTGTTACAAGAGTCAGTTTCTAATTCCTTTCTTATGCATGCACTGAAAGTGTGGTGTGCCACTAAACTGGAAACTAAAATGTATACCAATGATCTAGGCAAATCATTAGCCTTTACAGATTGGTGCTCCTTAGCTATAAAAGGAAAGGTTTTGGCTACAAAATCTTTAAGATTCATTTCCACACCAAACCATTCTGCGTATGTAATTTTATTTATGCACTTCATTGTTAGTATGAATTAATATTGATGTGAGTAGCAGATTCTGTTCATATCTTCCTTGCAAACTTCTGGCATAGCTATTACACCTATAGAAGAGGAAATTGGGCTTAAAAATATCATTTTACCCTTATGTTTTGTGGTTTTTGGGAGGGGAAGGGGCATGCTTTTTATGTGCCAAGCTAGGCAGAAGCTAGGTGTGGGACAAGGTCTCTCAACATTGGCACTATTGATATTTGAGGCTGAATAATTCTTTATTGGGGAGGCTTCCCTGTACATTATAGGATGCTTAGCATCTCTAGTTTCCCTCATATTGTGACAACCAAAAATGTCTCCACACATTGCCAAACGTCCCTTGGGGACAGAATTGCCCCCAGTTGAAAACCACCAAGAGCGAAATCAAGATGGTGGACACATCTATATGTAAATAAATATGTAAATTAACTAAAAAATATACACCAAGTGAACTAACTCAGCCTTCAGCCTAGAGGGTGATCAAAGTAGACCTTTTGACAACCTGGCTGAGTTTGTAGAGTAAGCAAAGCCAGTCAAACCAAGAAGGTAGTGAAGTGCTTTACAAGAAGAAGAAAATAAACAGGACATGCTCAGAAACATGGAAGCACAGGCATATGGAAGAGCAGGCATTGCATTGATCGAGTGACAAATATCTGGGAGATTAAACTTGGAAAAGTATATGCAATATGGCAAGATGTTTGGATGCTGTTAGCAGGAAAGTGTTTGGATAGATTCTGGGAAGTGAAGGTCTAACTGTTAAATTTTTTTAGAGATATTAGAAGGTCCAATGACATGTTCAAGGGTAGG